AAGAGAAAATGACAAATATACCATGTCCCACGTAAGAGCTTTGAGTACTTATACTCTCACCTATATGATTTGCTCTAGTTAGCCACGTAATACAGGACCTCCGAAGGTTGTGTGTGTTAAAGGAGGGTGGACAAACAGGCTGGCCCTGTTAGGCAGAAAAGCTTACTCTGCACCTCTCCAAATGTATATCGAATACTAAGCTCTGGTGGTGAAATGATTTCTTAACATAGGATGGAATAACACCTTTTCTCAAGAAGATCCCACAGAAGGGTAGAGTGGAGCTTAGAGACCTGACATAAATGGACTACTAGTGGTGAAGACATCCCTTCAAGTAGACTTAGATGCCTTTGATTGGTGGCCACAGCTATCATAGTGCACAGAGAATCCTGGTTACAATATCAAAGGAGATCCAAATGGCCACTAAGGTTATTGTTTGTGGGATCTGAGCACATCAACCTGAAAACAGACAAGACACTCCATACCTTAAGAGATATTCCACTGGTAACTATGCTTCTTGGGTCTGTAAGAGAGAGCTACCTAAATAATAGTGTTGCAAGATCATTGCAAACAATTAACTTCTCTACCAGCATCAGAAGTTTTTGGAGCCTTCCAGAAAGAAGCCATGCTTTTCCAGCAGATGAAACTCTTTTCTTCTACTGACTCAGTGCTTCAGCAATCCTGTCAATAGTGACCCTCAGCTTTTCCCCACATTTGCAATCACCTTTCTTCTCACAGGAATAGGTTGGAATTGCATTAGACTGGTGGATCCTGCAGTGCGTCATAGGCTATTCCTGTAGCAGGGTTTAGGGTGAAGGCAACAGCTTGCGACCTTCCCCCATGTAGTAACCTCATGACTCTCTGAAGAGTCCTGGCCCCCCCAGTTTGAGAACTGCGCTATTCAATTCCAGTCCTTGGCTACCACCCATCCCTCTTCAGGGACCTTTCTCATGATACATTAGTGAATCTTTCTTTTTTTTGGTTTTAATTTTGACTACATAGGATCATTCAGACAGACTACGTAGTTTCTACATGATGTGATTTATGACAGGGCCAATTGCACTGCCAGCTTGTTCCCCTAGGTAAAGGATACTGTCGATTTTCCTTGCAACTCAGACTCTTCAAAAGAGTTTTAAAATCTTTTTTTCATAAACCAGCCACCCTCCAGCTGTGTTCCTTTCCATAGATATTTTGCAGTATTGTCACTGAGAGATACAGTACAAGACAGATGAATCTTTGCTATCCTTTGCTTGAGCAGAACCTATCTAAGACATGTCACCTCCTAGTGACTTGCTTCTGACTTCAAGACTTTAAGAACATGATGCTCAGTATAGTATATAACTTCTATATATTTTGCAGTGAAACCGTCCTTTGGTGAACTGTTGTGCATAATCTTGACTCAAGGGATCCCTATAAAACTCTGTGCTATCTGCCAGTTGACAGAAAAGGGTTCCTGAGTCTTGCTGTTAGATAATGTCCTAAAAGCTCAAATCATAGCAGTCTGTGCTTTAGAGTTGAAGTTTTAGGACTCGGATCCTGTTCATGTATTATGGAGGTAGAGGAATGTTACACGTCTATGTAAAAAGTTGTTACTTTTTTCATTTTAAAAGATAGATTATTACACGTTACCATATAACCATTTCTTAAACAATACTTTAAAAAAGTTATTTAGTCTGCAAAATCAAGGACTGAAAAATTAGGACATGCCACTTTTACAGTTGTCTGCACAACTGTAATTTGGTCCCCTTGTATATATTCATTGTGGTATTGTAGGATTAAAGACTATTGTACTATAGTCTTCAGTCATAGTTTCTCCTGAAAAGTATCTTGCTCAGTTAGTACACAGGTTAGACAGCAAAGGGACAGGATTAAGATTGCATTGGCAACCATAAATGTGGTGTGTTATAATTTTGGAATGCATGACTGCAACCATCTGAAAGGTTTCTGAATGCTAGTGTGTTCTGGTTTAATTCTATTGAAAGAAGTAATGTTCCATCAAGATGCCAAGATAAAGGATTTTTTTATTAAAAAAAAATAGTCCTTTCAGAATCAATTTGACTTAAATAGGGAGATGATTAATGCCATGGTTAGAAATTGAAACATATTGGAATATTGTTTTCTGTTCTGATTAGGGATGTTAAATATTGGTTAATTGAATAGTCGATTAACCTTATGAATTCTTATTGGTTACTCAACTATTCTATAGTCGTCGTCCCCCGTGGTCAGGCCCACAGCCAGTGTGCTCCGGCCCCACTCCCAAGGAGCCCCCTGCCACTCCACGCTGTTGTCTCTGTATCAGAGGCAGCGGCGCGGGTGACAGGCAGCTGGTCCATGAGGGGAGCTGGTTTTCAGAGGCAGTTAGCATGGAAGCTGGTCCACAAGGGGAGCCAGATTAAAAAACAGCTTCCCTTGCGGACCAGGTGCCTGTCACCCTGCACGGATGCTTCCAATGCAGAGGCAGCAACGCAGAGTGGCAGGGAGCTGCTTGGGAGTGGGGCCAGGGCACTCTGGCTGCCGGCCTCACCCCAGGGACTATAGTTGAGTAACTGATAAGAATGCATGAGGTTAATCGACTATTCAGTTAATCGATATTTAACATCCCTAATCAGAACAGAAAACAATATTCCATTACGTTTCATAAATGCAGACCACAGCAGTCGTCATCTCTGTATTTCAGTACCAGAGGCGGCAGAGTAGGATGGCAGCAGCCCCTGTCCAGGGACTGGGGGACTTAACTGAGCTCCCAGACCCAGCTCAAGCCAGGACTGAGCCAGGCTGCCTGCCCCATCTGTCTCCTAATATGCTTTAAATTCAGAGCTGCAGCAGGGGTGGGTCCTGGACCCGATGCAAGCCAGGACTGAGCCGGACTGCTGGCCAGTCTGCTAAAAAATTTACTGGCAAGGATCGGGGGGAGGAAAATGCATGGAGTCTATAGCATTAACCTAAAAGCTTTTGCTTATTGGTTAATCACTACACTGTTACTATTATCATCCCTGATTCTGATATCTGCTTTTGTAAAAAGAGTATTTAGAAAATAAAGAGGATTCAGAGCCACAAGAACCATTTGTGATTTGGAAAGCCTACATTACAGTGAGACTTTAAAAACGTACCTTTTTTTTTAGCTTTTCAAAGAAACAGTTAAGAGGTGACTTGATCACAAACTACAACTAGTTTTTGTGTAGTAAAGCTATGTGATCCCAGAAGGCTAATTAGTCTAACTATCGAAGATGTAACAAAATCCCATGGTTTTAAATTGAAGCTATAAAAACTCACTGGAAGTGAGGTAACTAAGTAGTTAATTACTAGAAAACAACGTAAATGTTGATGGGGATATGGAGGAATCACTTGAAATGTTTAAATCATGATTGGCTGTTTTTCTGGCCTGAATTATATTGGAAGTCAGTTCTATATGGTGATTATCCTTTCTGAACTTAAATCTGAGTATTCTTTAAACACTTTGCATTGTGTCTTTTTCCTTTTATAGAAAACAAATGTGCTCAAAACATTGACAGTGCAATAAAACCATAGTGATGTGACCTCTAGCTTGTACAAGGTTGGTCAGTTCTCCCCATAGCAATTCACGGTGTGTGTTACAGCTCTGCTTATGGCACAACCTGGCTTTTCTCCATGTCAGGGAAATTGAGTTGTAACATGTAGGCACTTAAACAACTTACTGAATCTGTTTACAAAATATGGTTTACCTTATGTCTTATCCTAAATGTTCTCTCTCTTACTAGGCTAAAGAAATACTTACAAAAGAATCAAATGTGCAGGAGGTGCGTTGCCCTGTTACAGTCTGTGGAGATGTCCATGGTCAATTCCACGATCTTATGGAACTCTTCAGAATTGGTGGGAAATCGCCAGACACAAACTACCTGTTCATGGGAGACTACGTGGATAGAGGTTATTACTCCGTGGAAACGGTGACTCTTCTTGTAGCACTAAAGGTACAGAGTCTGACACTGTTTATTTAAAAAAAAAATCAAAACACCTTCACACTATAAAAATTCTGAAACAAATTGGGGGCTGGAAGAAGGAACTGAAATGAACTTGCAAACTAGAAGATTTCACTTGGTAAAAATGTTTGACAAAAGAAGCATCTCATTTTTTTATATGTTCAAAATGGCATGCATTTAACACTAGTCAGAAATCTATTGTTTGATGCTATATAAATGATTGTTCTTTTTCCATTGCTAGGTGCGTTACCCAGAACGCATTACCATACTGAGAGGAAATCATGAGAGTAGACAAATTACACAAGTGTATGGCTTTTATGATGAATGTCTACGAAAGTATGGAAATGCCAATGTTTGGAAGTATTTCACAGATTTGTTTGATTATCTTCCACTTACAGCTCTAGTAGATGGCCAGGTAAGCTTTTGTGTATTTTACAGTGCATAATAGAGTGTTATGGTCAGATGGGAGTACTTTGGTAATCTAGTCTGATCTCCTGAGAATAGATGGCTTGAAACTCCTTGTCATATTTAGAGTATGATACATATTTGTAACATTCAGTCTTGTATTCACAGAGGCCTGTCTGTATCATACTTATAAAACTCCTTTTAAGTGGTTTGTTTTAGTTTGTTCCTGGCCTCAATTTGTGGCATGTCATTTATAATAATGAATTTACTGCAAAAGGTGTCACAAGTTTAGTTCCAGTTGTGGTGAACAGTACAGATACCTTGGAAGCTGTTCATTGACTTAAAAAATTGATTGTGGCAATGAGCCTCAGACTTTTACCTAAAACCTGGCGATTTCTGGCTACAATCCACCTAGATTTAGATTGGAGTTATGACCAAAATAACCCTAGTTTGGTTCAAGTGTAGAGTAGGAAGTTGTGGGGACTGCAGCTGAATTGAATGGGTCTCTATTGTGAGTGCTTCCTTTTCCAAGATGCCTGTACAGCACACTGCTTAACTGAAGCACCACTTCAAGAGGTGTGAAAGCTGTCTTTAGAACTTTGAAGTTCAGCCTGTGTTGTTCCACCACTGAGTGATATGTGAGAGGAGGAGGAGATGATGGAGGAGCTGCAACCAAGTTAGTTAGCATGTGGTGTAGTCTGTAGAGGCAGGGCTGCTCTTTTCATCCCATTTTGGCTCCTGCTATCTTAACTATACAGGATTTTACTTTTCTTCTTTAACACACCACCTTAATAGGCTCGAGTCCCCTCCTGATTCATGGGCAGGTTGTACCCTATGGCTGTGTCTAGACTGAATCCCTTTTCTGTAAAAGGGATGCAAATTAGACATATCGCAATTGCAAATGAAGCGGGGATTTAAATCCTCCCCGCTTCATTAGCATAAAAATGGCTGCCGCTTTTTTCCAGCTCGGAGCTTTGCTGGAAAAAAGCGCCAGTCCAGACATGGATCTTTTGGAAAATAAAGCCTTTTCCGAAAGATCCCTTATCCCTCATTTTAAGATCCCATTTTAAGATTTTAAAATGAGGGATAAGGGATCTTTCGGAAAAGGCTTTATTTTCCAAAAGATCCATGTCTGGACTGGCGCTTTTTTCCAGCAAAGCTCCGAGCTGGAAAAAAGCGGCAGCCATTTTTATGCTAATGAAGCGGGGAGGATTTAAATCCCCGCTTCATTTGCAATTGCGATATGTCTTATTTGCATCCCTTTTACGGAAAAGGGATGCAGTCTAGACACAGCCCAAGTGTTAAGTTCTGTGGGAATCAAAGTATTTCTGAAATGAAAGTGAAGAAATATTACTTTACAGGTATAAGGGTACTCTTGTTTTGGTGATATTAAAGCACCATTTTCAGATTCCTCTGTGTGTCACTTGTAGCGGAATTAATTTTTCGTTGAGCTGAGTTGTGATCTGTGACGTGATGTTTAAACTATATACATTTGAACAGTGATAAGCATAAGCTAGTTAGTTTTACTTTTCTCAGTCAAAATATTTTTTTTTTCCTGGACAGATATTTTGTCTGCATGGTGGTCTCTCTCCATCTATAGATACGTTGGATCATATCAGAGCTCTGGATCGTCTACAGGAAGTTCCACATGAGGTAACCTGAATAGAATGCACCGATGTTTTATACGGATGTTTGTGTATTCTTAGTTGCACATTTTTCCTCTTTGAAATCCATTTTACTCAAGTGAGGTACATTGCATCTTTGTTAGGACTGTAACAGACAAATACTGTTTTAAATGAATAAAATAAACCAAATCAGTATATGTTACTATAGCAGAATTGGAAAAGAAAGAGGTAGTGGTATATTCCCCACACTCTTACCTTCTTCCCTCATTTTGAGTATGACTTCATCAGTCCTAAAATTGATGAAACATCTGGATAGTAAAGTGTGTGTGTGCTGGTTTGCACAGCTCCTGTTAAACAAGATCACAGTTAACATGTGAATAAATGCCACTTCTGATCCAGTTGCTCTGATAAATAGGTTATCTGTAGCAGAGTACAATTTACAAGAATTTGGTCACCTTTATTTTGAAGCGAGTACATAATTCTGTGGGGAGCAGGAAAGACAAACCAAACAGGAGAGGAGAAAATGCATGCAAACTGGACTGAGGAATAGCAGCAAATAAAATGCTATTCTTCATCTTTCACTCAAGAAGTATAAAAATCTCTCCAGCATCCATATTCGGAGGGGAGGCAGGAGCGGGGGAGAATGAAGAATACATCTCCTCTCCCAGAAAGAATGGAAAGCTCTAAGGCTGTGTCTAGACTACATGTCTCTGTCATCAGAGGCATGTAGATTAGACACATAGGCAAAGGCAAATGAAGCCGCGATTTAAATGATTGCGGCTTCATTTACATTTACATGGCTGCCGCGCTGAGCAGACAAACAGCTCATCAGCTGTTTGTCCTCTGAGGTTTACCGGGGTTGCCGACAAAGGGCTTTGATGTCGGCAGGGAAGCGTCCAGACTAGCGTGCTGAGCGGACAAACAGCTGATCAGCTGTTTGTTGGCTCAGCGCGGCAGCCATGTAAGTGTAAATAAAGCCGCGATCATTTAAATCGCGGCTTCATTTGCCTTTGCCAAAAAAACAAATCTATATGCCTCTGCCGACAGAGGCATGTAGTTTAGACATACCCTAAATGGAATACCCACTACTTAGTCAAAGGGCTCAGCTATCTTAAGATTTCATGGATGTTGTTTTTTTGGGGGGGAACTCAGATCCTGACATAAGATTGTGCTCCTGTATCTAAGTCTTCACTGAAAAACAAACCTCTGTATCCTAGCTCTTATGATAGCAAATATATGTTTAAAACATACTGTGCATAAAACAATGCAGAAAAGTCTGCCTGGAAAGATAAACTGTGAACTACCCCACACACTTCAGATTTGTTGACTTGGAAAACAGGGGAAGTGGTTTAAATACAAAAAATTAACTATTGGTTATTTTAACAGAAATAGCTAACTAATACGCTGGTGCTACAATTCCCAGTGTTTCAAAACCTCTTTTCTGGCAACTTCTACAGTGTGTTTAGGTATTGTCAGTACAAAAATCTACGGCATATTAGATTAGATGATCCTTGAAATCTCTTCTAACCTTATGACTCTGTGGTTAATGACTAATAAGCGAATGCTCATTAGGAAGTCTGTAGTATTTGTCAGTGGTCACCATACTGAAGGGACGAGGAGGGAAGAGAGAAGGAATCATGTCAGTTTAAGCTTTCAAAGAGTGTTTGTAAACAATGTTGTTATCTTTTGTAATTTTTATCATGAGACTCATGCTATTAGATAGTTCACTTAAAGCTCCATCTCCTAACAAGATTACATGAGAATTGCAGCTTTCACTTAGAAAAAGGTTTCTAACCCTGGTTGTGGAAACAAGCTTGAAATCTTGATTTGAGCTGTGGGGTAGAAGTCCTGACTGAAACCACGTGAAAACTAAAAAGAGCTCTAAATTGAACATTGTTTAAAAATGGCATGAAATTTAAGAAAGCTTAATGAGTTTTGGAGACTGATTCATGATCTGGGTTTGTCTGTACTATAGAAGCAGTGAGTACCTTTTTCATATTGTGAAATCCTGGACTATGAAGGTGTATATTTAAAAATATAGACTATTCAGCATCGAGTCAGAATAAGGTCTTAGAAATGTTGTATGTATTGTAAATAAAATGCCTTTTAAAATAGATTTTTTAATATTTACTATTAACTAACATTTCTGCTTTCCTTAGGGCCCAATGTGTGATCTTTTATGGTCAGATCCAGATGATCGTGGAGGCTGGGGTATTTCGCCGCGTGGTGCTGGCTACACATTTGGACAGGACATTTCTGAAACATTTAACCATGCCAATGGTCTTACACTGGTTTCCCGGGCTCACCAACTTGTGATGGAGGTATGGTGAGCATATTCTGTTATGATAACCTATCATAGATGAAGTGATACAAACACTGAAGATCTAATTTCTTATAAGTGCAAGGTTGTCCACTTTTTACAGGTTTACATACAATGGTATGTACGTGCTAAACCTTGAGAGCCTTTTTATCATATGCTATAGGCCTGAAAAATATTTGTCAGTCCAGAGGAATAAAAGCGGTTCATACTAAGGACTAGTTACAAAAGTATAGCTTGCTTTCACACTGACAATCTTTTCCTCTACTAATGTGTTAAATAGGCTATCCTGTAATAAGTAGCAGTCAGTTGCAACAGGGAGTAAACCATCCAGCTGGTATAGATAGAACATACAAGTATAGCCTTACTGGAAAAATGCCAGGTGGGTCAATAGAGCACTTCTACTTTTAATTCAGTTGAACTAAATCCTTTATAGTTCATACTGTACATTAAAAACATGTAGAGTATATAAACTGATGAGCTTGAACTTCAATACTCAGGTTTTAAAAAAGCTAAACATTTCTATTTAAAAACATCTAGGTACATCTAGAGTACTGTTTTCAGGCAAAGAAAGGTGCTAAGAAACATGCAAGTCACCAATAGTTTAAACTACCAGAAATCATAGTCATTTATAACCTGTGATATTACCTTAATATGTAAAAGTTTTAAAAGTTTTTGTCTACTCATTTTACTTCTCATTTTGAAATAGCTGCTAACAAGAAACAACAATTTCATGTTTGAGATCATTGCAAAATGGAAACATTTAAAAAGAATAAAGAAAGCTATCCTGTTAAATGCTCATAACTCATTTGAGCTTTTAGACATGTTGGTCTGTATTAAGGTTTTTAAATGAGAATTAAATTTTTTATATTACAGGGTTACAATTGGTGTCATGATCGAAATGTGGTTACTATATTCAGTGCACCTAATTACTGTTATCGTTGTGGGAACCAGGCTGCTATCATGGAACTAGATGACACTTTAAAATATTCCTTGTGAGTAATTTAGATTTTCAAGTATTTATCTTTCCTTCCAAAAGGATAGAAATGCAGATCTTAGAACAAATGGGGATAGTCGTGCTCTAATAAATCAAGAGTGTGATGCAGAAATGGAAATAGTACCACGTAGCAGAATCTTTCAAAACTTCTAAGTTGATGAAGGGATTTACAGGGATTGTTTTGGCATTGACTTTTGAGGAACACAGCAGTGAGATATGGGAGTCTCCCTAGGGATTACTGCAGCTTGCTTTTAGTAACAGGATCCTTCAGAAAGGAGAAGCAATCCTTCTATCAGAGTTTGAGTACTTGGCCTTCATATCATCAGTGTTGAGAATAAAATTTAGCTAGGTGCAAGGGATATGAAGAGAAGAAATTCTTCTGTTGACTATTCATCAGTGTTAAGAGCCCATAGAATTGCTCATTTGAACTCATTTTTTAACGTTTCTACATACATGCAGAAGGTAAAGTTGGTGTGTTGTTTTGCTGACATTAGACTGTCTAATGAGCAGGGCTCACCAAGCGGTGGCAAGCCCCGCTTGCCAGCTGTGCAGTTCTGCGCACGCGCAGATCGCTCCGCGCCGGCTCTTCCGGGGGTGTAATCTACTCGCCAGGGGTCTACTCTACTATTTGTCGAGCCCTGCTAATGAGAAATGAGTTGCCTAAGAGAATAGATGTAGATTTCTGCTCAGAGGGCCTTCAGTGAGACTAGGGATGGGCTTCTGAAGTGTTCAACAAACTAGCCAATTATCTTTATTTCATGTAATTGCTTATTCCAGTTCAGAGTTTGCCTCCCATAAAATGATATAATTTTGGGGAGTTTTTTCTAGACTTCTTTCAGTTGGGAAAGGTTGGCGTAGTTATAGTCTAGCAATGGGGAAAAAGTTTTGTATTTATAGTTTCATTAGATTAGATTGTATTTATAGATTCATTAAACATTAACGATAGCAGCAAATAATTAATTTATTCCTTTGATTACAGCCTTCAGTTTGACCCTGCACCTCGTCGTGGAGAGCCTCATGTTACCCGTCGTACTCCAGACTACTTTCTATAAACATCTCCTCACAGCGGCCTTTGTAGAGGAAGTACACTTGGCATTTTAAAAAAGCAACAATAATTTACACATTTCTGTAACTGGTTGGGATCTGTCTCAGCCTAAAACCCCTATCATGGACCAAAATGTGCCATACTGAAGATGAGAATTTAGCACAATTTGAGACTGAATTCAGTACAACACTATATATCTTATAACAATCAGTCCAACAGTCAGTTTGCCTGCTGTATTTGTAGTAATGGTTTCTTCTGGACTGTTCAAAGAGAAAAGATAATTCTAACACAACTTCTTTATTGCTTATTTGTAAATTTTAGTTATAGTGTTTAACTGGCATTAATTAGAGTTTGGCATTTATTTTTAAGGAAAATACACAACTAACTTCTGTCAGCCCACCACCCTTTATTTTATTGAAACGTATGATTATAACTTAACTGGAGAATGAAAATAGTTCCTATTGGGAGTATGTTGTCATAACATTTAAAAGCTTTCTCTTTTTTTAGTTAAATTACTGTTCTGTGTTGACCCTATCTTTTTTTTTCTTTTTTTTTTTTTCTTCTGTATATTTGTCATGAAAGTGCTTGCATCTTATCTGGTGTATTTGAACAAATAAACTTGCAATTGCAAAACAGATAGGTATTCCAAAACTGTGTTGTCTACATTTGTTAAATGCTTATCTATAACTGTATCATTTCAGAATGTGACACTACTCAGACTCATCACAAAATATATTTGGGTGTAAAAGTGTTTATTTCTAAGTTTGTCTATGTCTAAGAATATAGTCTGCCTGGTGAAGAGGCAAATTTTGTGCACTTTTTAGCCAAAATATACAATAGAACACTCTTCATAGGATGAATGTCAACACAGTCCAAGTACTTTAATCAATGAAGGGCCACCTCCTTGAAGATGTTGATCATCTTTCTCTCTGGTCATGGGAAGTTAAGTGTGGTTGAGAACCCTGCATTAGGTGGTACCATAGAAGAGAGGAATCATCCAACCATGTTCTTGCATTTGGAAATCATAAAGTTAAGCTTCCCTAGTGTCATCTTCACTAGTAGAATCAAAGTGTTTGCAGCATGAACTTTCAGAAGCATCTAGTGTACAATTCTCTTATTCATCCTTCCCTTGTGGACTGTTCAGAGGATACAAAGGGAATACCTGCCCATTGGTTTCTTCTAAGGTACTGTGGTGTCAGATCATGCTTAATGAAAATATTACCAAATGCAGTCCCACCGTGTGAAATTCCCTCCCTGCCCCCTGTGGAGCTAAATGGCAAATCTCCCTGTACTCAAGTGAGAATTTGTAATATTTGTATGAATCCTATATATGCCTCAGTTCCCCCTACATTTTATATTGCTACTGAGCTGCAGAAACAGGACTGTTCGCTGTCATGGTAAAGGAAGTGACTGAGGTGCCTGGATGCCCTCCAGCAGTCTGAACAGACTGCGTGGCTCGTTAACAAGCCCATTTGAGGCTGACCCACATGAATGGAAAATGCGAAAGGACAAAGGCAGTCTCCCTCCCCAGCACACTGACACCCCCCGCCTCCTGGGCCAGAGGGAAGAGGATGCCCTGTCTCTCCGCGGGGAAGCTGAACAGACCCCCATGGGCCCAGCTCCAGGAGGCGCGGGAGAAGCAGGCAGCGCTTCAGAGCCCCGCCCCTGACCGCGACCGCCCTCAGTCAGCGTGACTCAGCAGCCCCGCCCCCTGGCTCGCGGCAGCGCCCCAGGGCCGCACCCCCTTTCCCTGCGCCG